TATCATTCCTATGCTTGCTATAACTTTGAATACAATTCTATCTATTAATAAATTCTAAGTTTATTTTCTCTAAATTCAATTTATTTGAAATTCAATTTATTTTCAAAAATTCAATTTATTCTTTTATTTTGTAAATGGATTAACATAATTTTGAAATAAGTTAAAGATTTCTGAATATCACTTTATGTTAATACTTTTAAAGGCATGGAATACAAAGTAAGCAAATTATCACCATCATAGAGTTATTTGGAAGCGGAACAAGAAATATGTTCTCAAATTGGCAGATTATGAATATAGCCCCTTTTCAGTGTAACAGCATGAAAATACTTCGAATCTATAAATTCTGGTTCTACATCGAATAAATACTGTGATATTCCAGTCCAAACATTAACTGGATCAAGTGATACGTTCTCATAGTAGAAATAAGAAGACCCAATAGCATCTTCTGGAAGTGTTCTTTGAGTTATCTGATCTGATTTGGTATGAACCCCAAAATCAATCATTGGATTTGAAAGATGAATTTGCTCATAGTAGGAATACGAAGACCCAATAGCATCTTCTGGAAGTGTTCTTTGAGTTATCTGATCTGATTTAGTATGAACCCCAAAATCAATCATTGGATTTGAAAGATGAATTTGCTCATAGTAGGAATACGAAGACCCAATAGCATCTTCTGGAAGTGTTCTTTGAGTTATCTGATCTGATTTGGTATGAACCCTAAAATCAATCATTGGATTTGAAAGATGAATTTGCTCATAGTAGAAATAAAAGACCCAATAGCATCTTCTGAAGTTTTCTTTGAGTCATCTGATCTGGTTCAATAGGAACCACAAAACCAATCATTGGAATTAAAAGATGAACTGCATGATCGTCTTCATTAAGAAGCTTCTTTTCAAGCTTCTTCTGCTTATTCCTTTCCCAAAAATCATAGCCCAAGTTTCGCCTTTTCTTGTAATTGGGATCATTGCATAATGGCTTCCTATCTTTTACCGGAAGAAGTGTGTCAGTAGCTTTAGCATTTGAGCAGCACATATAAAATCTGTCAACTCTGCAATTGATGAATCAGGATTATATCTCTATGACTATTGAAGACATAGCATTTGAGTATACCATTTTCGTCAAGTATAACAGTTTACTCTCCTCATCAGAATCAGAATTCAGGATTTTCTCGGTATCAAAAGAACTATTGATATCTGTGAAATCATCTTGAGAGATCACTTCATAATTAGATGAGTAGTTATCAGAATCAACATGTTACATGAGTGCAAACTTTTCAAGAGCTTGTGCCATTGAGTTTTGTTCTCAAGGGATTTGTGACTTTATATCTACATCTACATTTGTCAAAAATGATAGATTCTCCGATTTGAAGAAGAAAGATTTATTGGATTTCTACACAAATGAAGAAATACTCAGTTCACCAATTTGAAATCAAATAAACTTAACATTCATGCATCATATTTAGGCATTTGCAAAAATAGGTGCATTTTCATTCATTTTATCCATGTTGAATATTTGACAGGAATTTCAAAGATTTTAGCAAAGTTCAAATCCATCATTCAATGGATCAACATTCCAGGTCGAGTTCATAATGAGAAGAACTCATCTGAAGAAGGAAGAAGAAGTTCATAATGAGAATAACTTGTTCAACTTTTCGCTTGAATTCATCATTCGATGGATCAGCATTACCAGGTCGAGTTCATAATGAGAAGAATTCATCTGAAGAATGAAGAAGAAGTTTATAATGAGAAGAACTTGTTCAACTTTTTGTTCAAATCCATCACTTGATGGATCAATATTTCCAGGTAAAGTTCATAATGAGAAGAACTCATCTGAAGAAGAAGAAGTTCATAATGAGAAGAACTCATCTGAAGAAGAACTTGTTCAACTTTTTGCTTGAATTCATCATTCGATGGATCAGCATTTCCAGAAGAGTTCATAATGAGTAGAACTCATCTGAAGAAGGAAGAGGAAGTTCATAATGAGAAGAACTTGTTTAACCTTTTGTTCAAATTCATCACTTGATGGATCAACATTTCCAGAGAAAGTTCATAATGAGAAGAACTTATCTGAAGAGGAAGAAGAAGTTCATAATGAGAATAACTTGTTCAATCTTTTGCATGATTCTATCACATAAGGAGATAGATCAGCATCAACATTTCCAGATTACATCACATAAGGAGATGAATTGTCAACCCCAGTGGAAAAGTTCATAATTAGAAGAACTAATCCCAAAGAAGAAATTATTCAACCTTACCATTATAATCAAGTGAAGTCAAATGGATATAAAATTTTATTATCTTTTCGTCTTTTCCCTATTCTTGTTAACACAAGAATGAGCAAAGAGGGGCAGCTGAAGATACTAATTTTTTACCCATTTTACTTATTTATTTATTATTATTATTATTATTATTATAATAATTATTATTATAATAATTATTATTATTATATATATATATTATTATTATTATTATTATAATTATTATATATATTATTATTATTATTAAAAAAATAATTACAGGCCCAATGAAAACTGGACCGGTCCAGTTACAGACAACCAGTTTACCCAAACCAAATGGAAACCCAAAACATTTAGGGTTTTAGTTAGGGTTTTCTAACCCTAGCCCCGTGCGCCGCCGCCTCAATCTCAGCCGTTGGATCTGAGAGATCCAACGGCCCACACTCATCCAGCACAAACCCTAGGGTGATGATACCCTAGGGCCACGCGGCCACCGCAACTACTTCCACCATCTCCACCGCTGCCACGTCTCGTCGGAAGCTTCCAGAAGAGCCACTCCAGCCGCACACGTTGCCCTCAACGGTGAGTCACCACTGGAAGTCCGGTGACTCACCAGACTCCACTCTTTTACCCGGTCCGAGACAAGTGCCGGTGATGGCTATAAAGCCACCACCGAACCTGCGAAGAAAGAAGACACCCCAACAGCCACAGAGAAACAAAACCGAGAGTAAAGATACAAAAATAGAGACCAACTCACAACAACCAGCAACCACAAACCCAAAAATAAGCAAGGAGAAGACGGAGAGATACTTACTGCAACATCACCGAAGCCTTCACACGTCATCGAAAACCGAAGGTATTTTTGTAGATTTGCTCTGATCGGGAAAGTTTTAAGGGAAACGGTCATCGGAACCATCAATAGGATGGTCCGATCTATATTTAGGTGTAAAAAAAAAATTTCCGGCCACCGGATGTGGTGGCCGGCGGCGGGGTTAACGCCGGTGAACGGATGCCGGCCGGTGCTTCTCTCTGTTTTAGAGAGAAGCGAGAGAGTTTTTAAAACTCTCTCAAAGAAGAGAGAGAGAGGGAAGAGGATAAATGAGAGCTGGCCCTTCGGGCCAGCTGGTTAAGGGCTTAAATAGCCCTCCCCAAACGACGCCATTTTGGGAGGGATCTGTCTGTAATTAACTAAAGGTTAAACCCTTTCCGCAGCCATCCTAATTTGTAATTCTTATATTTTAGTCACTAAATCAATTTATAATCCTTTTAATTCGGTTCTTTAATTTTAATTTTATTTATTTTAGTCCTTTATATTAAAATAATATATTTAGGATAAATATCATATTTAGTCCTTTAATTTTAATAATTGATATTTTAATCCCGAGTATATTTTTTAATTTATTTTAATCTGATATATGAATTATTATATAATTTTATTTTAGTCACCAAATTAATAAATAAGGAGAAATAGCATGTTTAATCCCTGTAATTTCAAATAATTAATTATGAATTAGGTATTTAATTTTATTAGATTATAATTTAGTCACTAATTTTAAATATTTTCATTTATTATAAAGTTTTATTGCTTTTAAATATATAAGTTCTAATTGTATTTTTATTATTGTTTATTTATGTTTTAATTTTACTTGTTTATATATTTAAATATTATTTTTATTATTATTATATAGTCATATAAATATATATATAATAAATAATAATTTATATATTTTTTTATATAAATTATTTTTATCATATTTTAATATTTATTTATTTTTCAATATCGAAGAAAAGGGCAGTCTTAATACAACTGGATGTCCTATTCTGGTATTTTAAAATTAAATATTATAAAAAAAAATTATAATTTTATTTTATTTAAATTATTATATTGTTAATATTTATTAATATCGAAGAAAAGAGTTGTCTTAAGGCACCTAGAAGTCATTTTCTGATATTTATAAATAAATAAATATTTTATTTATAAATATATATAAATTAATTTTTTTTTCTCATAATTATAATTTTGAAATAATAGGATTATAAATTAAATATGTTTTAAATTTTAAATTTCTAATAATAGAGACAATTTCTAATTAAAAAGTACCAAATTTGGGCGTTGTAGGGGTGCTAATCCTTCCCTAAACGTAACCGACCACGAATCCTTTTTTATTATTAAAAAGAACGAATTTTTGGTTAAAACGCAGATCAGTTTATCTTTTAATCGATGTTTTCTTAAAAACTATTTTAAAAGATGATTTTTAGGTATTCGACCTACCTAACCCAAAAGGCCGATGGCGACTCCCAAAATATTTTTTTTAAAAAAATCAAAATCATTAATTTATTCACATCACTTTTCCCGCCAAGTAAAAATTCGTGCCCGGACGAAAACCGGTTACGACAATCAGATTATATTTTTTTAGATCAATTGAAAACATATTATGAATTCTTAAGTACTAAATTTAAAAATTGTATCAACAAATGTATCAAATAGTTATAAACCCAAATTATTTGGACCGTTAAAATCGAGCCCATTGCCCAACCCACTGAAACAAACTCCAACCTCGCCGAATAAATGCCATTCAAAACCCTAACCCTTCTTTTCGTTCTCGTACTTAATTAGTTGTGGCGCCCCCTCCGTTCACGACCACCATCAAGCTTCAGCAATGGTCTGTTTCCGGAACACTTCACTGATTGAAAAAAAAGTTTTATATTTATTGATTTTTTGTTTGTTTGTTTTGTCTTTGCATTATCAGGGGATCGATTTAGTTGCAGGAGGTAAGAGCAAGAAGACCAAAAGGGTTGCCCCCCAAATCCGATGATATTTACCTCAAGCTTCTCGTCAAGGTCTCACGTTTTTTTTTCTTCATTTATAACATAAAAGTCTTATTTCTTTTTCACCAAATAAATGATATCGTTTTTGTTTTGGGTTTTAGCTTTATCGTTTCCTTGTAAGAAGAACTGGGAGCAAATTCAATGCCGTTATACTGAAACGCTTGTTTATGAGCAAAGTCCCCCGCTATCTCTTTCTAGGCTTGTTCAGTTCATGAAAGGAAAGGTATTTGTTTCTTTACATTATCCCAAAAATCTGGGTTTTTGTTTAAGATCTTTATTTTGTCATTAGTTTTTGGTTTAATCCATGTATATATTGTAGGAGGATAAGATTGCTGTGGTAGTGGGGACAGTGACAGATGATATAAGGGTGTATGAGGTTCCACCTTTGAAGGTTACTGCTCTTAGGTTTACCGAGACTGCTAGAGCTAGGATTGAGAAGGCTGGTGGAGAATGCTTAACTTTTGATCAGCTTGCTTTGAGGGCTCCTTTGGGTCAGAACACGGTATGTGATTATTCTGACTTCTGTTAATCATTGGCACTTTTCTTTGTTCAAATTATGAATATTTATAGATTCTTGTTTGCATTGGAGTTCTGATTTTGTGAAACAGTCGTTTCTTCTCTGGAACTAAAAATGCTGATGTTTCTCTCATGCTATGATTGGAACCGATTATGTAAGAACATAATATTCTGAAACTTAGCACTTTGCATTGTGAACGTGGTGTGAAAGTTGTGAGAATATTGATGCTCTGATGGATATATATGATTCTGTTAGTTTATTTGTTCCAAGTCTATTCGATACAATAATGATTTTAATCCTTCATTTGAAGGGTGATTGTATATGTTTTTAACTCCATCTTTTGTTTATGCGAACTTTTGGAAATTGATATACCAATTAACTAGAATTCTAGAAATGAAATATGTTGTGCTGTGTGATTTCCAGTCAATATAATGTTTGTCCTTTTTTAATTTTCAATGAAATGTGTAGCTGGATTTTACTTCTTTATCCCTCCAATCATTTTGTTTTTTCCCTTCTGAAAGAAGTTATGTATGGCGTTCTTAAGAGGTAATATGGGTGGAATTGCAGGTTCTTCTCAGAGGTCCAAAGAATGGGCGTGAAGCAGTTAAGCACTTCGGTCCAGCTCCTGGTCTGCCTCACAGCCACACTAAGCCATATGTGCGTTCAAAAGGACGAAAGTTTGAGAGGGCCAGAGGACGAAGGAACAGCAAGGGATTTAGGGTTTAAGGTGACTTTAGTGTTTGTTCCGAGGCATGTTTTTAGTATGTTGTCGCAAACCAAATTTTGCTGTACTTTAGGTTTCCATGGTATTTGTTTCCTTGCGTTTGTTTACATTAATGTTCTTGGATTGTTTAATTATGGAATGATTTTCTGGTTTGAGTATGGCATTTTCAATTGGGAATGTAGTTAATCTGAGTCTGCCAGTTTTCAACTATTTGCAAGGTTTAATAGATAAGTACACCACTGGTTTACTTTATATGAAAAGTAAGTTGCCATTTTCAATATATATGCTATGGTTATAAATGATTCTAAAAACCATTGAGATTCAGAACCAGGAATTAATTATCAGTGTTAAACATGCACTCTTCATTGTTTTTCTCAGATCCAATGCCCATCCTTACAATCATAGGCACCTACCTCTTCCTCCTCATCAGCTTTATCCATGGAATACATTGGAAAACATGAAGCCAACCTTTACCCAAAGTCAATTTACCCATCATCAGCAGTAAAAGTTTCCAATTTTAGTTATCGCTATAAAATTTCACTATTTTTTTTCAACGAGGGGAAAGGGAATTTTGCTCTTACCTATTAAATTTCAGCTATCGGTGTTAAATTTCACTATTTAACTGGTCATAAAATAAAATAATATTTTGTAAAAAAAAATCACAATGTTGGGAACCGACAGACGATTAAATTGATAATGTCTTGAAAGGTAATTAATTCATTTATAAATATTTATGTAAAATTATATTTAATAAATTAAATTTACAAATAACTATTAGGAAAATAATTGTAAATATTTGTTTAACAATCAAAATAATATATTTTAGTTAATTTATTAACTATTTATAAAGTTTTGAAGAAAAAAATAGAAACATCCCTTAAATAATATATATATATTCGACTTAAAAATATACTCTTCTTTTTCATTTTTCGTATCTCATCAGTCGCGGCGCCTCCTACATTTCACGACCACTATCGTGCTTCAGCGATGGTCTGTTTCCAGAGATTTTTTTCGTCTTAAAAACAACAAAACGTTTTAATATCTAATATTTCGTTTGCTTTGTCTTTGTCTTTGCATAAACTGGGTATTGATTTAGTTGCAGGAGGAAAGAGCAAGAAGACCAAAAGGACTGCTCCCAAGTCCGATGATATTTACCTCAGACTTCTCGTCAAGGTCTCATCTTTTTCTTAATTTCCTGCATAACAATGTCGTTTATTTTTCTTTTTTGAATATATGATCTGATTTTTGTATTGGGTTTTAGCTTTACCAATTACTTGTAAGAAGAACCGGGAGCAAATTCAATGCTGTTATATTGAAACGCTTGTTTATGAGCAAAGTTAACAAGCCGCCACTCTCTCTCTCTCTAGACTCGTTCAGTTCATGAAAGGAAAGGTATTTATTTCTTTATATTATCAAAAACATTCTGGGGTTTTCTTTATGATCTTTATATTGTCATTGGTTTTCGGTTTGATCCATATATATATATATATATATAGGAGGATAAGATTGCTGTGGTAGTGGGGACAGTAACAGATGTTATAAGGGTTTATGAGGTTCCAGCTTTGAAGGTTACGGCTCTTAGGTTTACTGAGACTGCTAGAGCTAGGATTGAGAAGGCTGGTGGAGAATGCTTAACTTTTGATCAGCTTGCTTTGAGGGCTCGCTTGGGTCAGAATACGGTATGTTATTCTTCCGACATTCGTTAATCTTTGTTACCTTTCTGCTGGGGAATCAAAAATGCTGACTGATGTTTATTTTGTTACCATCTTTTGTTTTACGAACTTAGAAATCAATATACCCTTTCACTAGAATTCTAGAAATGAAATATGTACTTGCGTGTAGTGTCTATCCCATCAAATGTTTGTTTTATTTGATTTCCAATGAACAGTGAAGTCGGATTTTGCTGCTTGCTTCTGCAAATCTTTTAAGAATGGGCGGAATTAAGAGGTACTTTGGATGGAATTGCAGGTTCTCCTCAGAGGTCCAAAGAATGGGCGTGAAGCAGTTAAACACTTTGGTCCAGCTCCTGGTGTGCCTCACAGCCACACTAAGCCAAATGTGCGCTCAAAGGGACGGAAGTTTGAGAGGGCCAGAGGACGAAGGAACAGCAAGGGATTCAGGGTTTAAGACGACTTTAGCGCTCGTTTTGAGGATTGACTTTCATATGCTGTTGCAAACCAAATTTTGCTATACTTTAGGTTGCCATGGTATTTGTTTCCTTGCGTTTGTTCACATTAACGTTCTTGGATTGTTTAGTTATGGAATGCTGTTCTGGTTTGAGTACGACATTATCGATCGAAAATGTAGTTGATCTATGGACAAAGATAAGTTCCAACTGTTTCTCACCTTCCATCGTCATCATGGACAAAGATGCCCTACATGCCTGTCGGCCGCTGATTTATTTCCAAACCCATGCATGTCATTGTAGTTCTCTGCAATCCCCTTCTTTCCAACAACATACTTTGCCTTTCTTCAATCCACTTCTATCATTTTACATATCTTGGGAATAAATGAAAAGGAATTGTTGAAATTCTTCAATTTTTCTTATCAATTTTTAAAAATGTCTTATTTTATTTTAAATCTTTAGATTTTAATTGAATATAGCAAACATTATATTTCCTCGAACCTTTAATTTTCAACCGTGCTAAAAATATATTAAAACAATAATTAGAAGAGTCTCAAATATTAGTAAATAATATTTCCATGTTAATTTTTAACAATTGAATTCATGTTAAAATCAAGTGCATAACTATATAAAACAACAATTGTGTTTATGTGTATATTTTAAGATTTTTAGTGTTTTTTTTCCTCTATTGTTTTTTCTTCTTCTATTTTTTAGTTTACTAATATCTATTTACATTGGTGTAAATTAATTCTTTTAATCTCAAATTTTATATTAAATGCGTAGTTGAAGAATTTGTGTAAATTTATTTAGTGTATTAATATTTATTTATATAGTATAAGTTGTTTTTTATCTTCAAATTTCATGTTGAACATATAATTGAAAAATCGGTATAAATCATTTTTAATATATTAATATTTATTTAAATATATATAAATTATTTTTTAAATATTGATATTCATGATGGTATCTAAATATAAAAAATCATTTTTAATTAATAAAAAACTAGGCGTTTTTTCCAAAAAAATTCATCCTGACACACTAATATTACATGTCAGACATCATTTCAATTTTTTTATCGATCTAACACTCTTTGCAGTAAAGTGCGCCCCCTGAAGCGCGCTTTACGCTGATCTGGCGTCACGTGGGTAAGACGTGCCCCCTGTAACGTGTCTTATGCTGACTTGGATACACTTGGCTAAAGCGCGGCCCCTAGGGCGCGCCTTACGCCACGTAGGGCTATAGCGCGGTGCAGGGGCCGCACTTTGCTGAAATTATGACATGCGTTAGAAAGGCGTGCCTTTACTTAATTACTCACCTACCCCAACCCGTTCACTTCTCTTTCCCTCCCTATAAATACATCTATTCTCAATCACTTTCATCACACCAAATCCTCTCAATTTCTCTCAAATACTCTTTATATTCTCTTATAGCTCTTTAAGGTATATTTTATTATATTTAATATTTTGTTATTATTTTATTTAATTATTTAAATTATTTAATATTTTATTTATTTATTTATTTTTGCAGATATAAAATGGAAAACGGTCTAATTCATTTGGATGGAAATCACATATCTCGACATTTTGCTGATACGGTAACATTTTAACGTTTTAATTTAATTTAAATTATTAGTAATAATTTATTTATTTATTGAATGAATGATTATTAGTTTATAAATTAATTTTTGTAATTATTTATATTTTAGGAGAGAGATCGAATTTTAGATCATTTTATTAAGAATCTTAAGTTAGCGATACCTACGAGTGTCTGGTCGTATTTAGTAGAGGTGAATTCGGTCACATAGGTAGATATGGAGGTCACTGTAAGATAGAACCAAACCTTATTTATGTCTTAGTGGAGCGGTGGAGGTTGGAGACACACACATTCCATCTTCCGTGCGGATAGTGCACAATTACACTTGATGATGTTTCTATGCACCTGGGGCTTCCGGTGGATGGAGGTGTGATATCAGGGATAGTGCACGGTTCTTTGACTACTTTGTGCTGGGATAAACTAGGACGTGACTCGGAAAATTTTAACAGTTGTCGGATACCGTTAAATTGGTTAGATGTCAATTTTCAGGAGTTGAGCGCAGACGCCTATGAAGATGAAGTTAAAATGTATGCACGAGCATGCATACTGCAGCTGATAGGAGGGTTGTTGATGCCGGATAAATCGCGCAACCAAGTTCACTGTATGTAGTTGTGACATCTTGTCGACTTTTATATGGTCGGATCACTCAATTGGGGCTCAGCAGTTTTGGTTTTCCTGTATAGTTGTTTATTGGACTTTTTTATTGTAATTTTTTTTTATTTATCATTTAATAATTACTTTATTTTGTTAATTTGGTTGGATTTTTTTAAAAATTATTTTGTGTATTTTGTTAGACTTCTTGTTAATTAATTTTGATTATTTTGTTTATTACCATTTAATATCAGTTAATTTATTTATCATTTAATATTAGTTATTGTAATTTTATTATTATTTACCATTTAATACTTATTGTAAGCTTGTTGTATTTAGAATTATATTCAAATATCAAATTACTATTAGTTTGATAAAATTTAATAATTGTATTCGATAACTTTCTTAAGTTTGTCACTTATTATCTATTTTATTTTAATCACATATAACGCCAATGTCCAATCTCGTTTTCTTGTATCATTTTTTAATCTTCATCAGCGGTTATCGAATGACATTAAATTTAAGTCAATGCAAATTAAAGTACAAGAATTATTATTTGATAAACAAAAACTACATCAGTTCCTCATCAATGGTTACTTGATGGCAATAGAAGTGGACATGTTCTCCTAGTGCGTCATGAGTTTCTACAATGCCCACATTTTTTGTCGTGTCGAGATGTTTCTCGAATATCCATATCACAATGGATTCGAGTGGATTTTGGACGACCATAGTCCTTCAATAAATTCGGGTCTGGTACAATCATAAGTCAATTCCGAACCTCATTAAGGTATTCGTCATTACCTATGGGGGGAACTCAAATTCGTATAACTTAAACACTTCTGATAGTAGGTATACTAGATCCACAAAACTGTTATAGTCTTGACGGGTATACGGGCAAGTTACTATAAAATGAGAGCATGTATATTTCAGAGCTTGAAAAAACCCGCAGTCGCAGCATCTGTCCTGTAGATTTACTCTGAACGACACAACTTCAATCCCTTGAAGAGGTCGAGGCAACTCTGTGACACGAAACAATGCATGTGTTTTAGAAAAGCTTGTTACAGACATTCCATTTGATGCCACAATTTTTTTTGTAAATCTGCAACTAATCTAGGGTGATAGACATGACCGCCTTGCATCCAGGTTTGAGCTTGTCCCCCGAGCTTCGCAAAAAGCGCCCCCAAACGAAAATATATAGTTTTTACCAAAGCTGCTACAGGTAAGTGACGTGCACCCTTTAAGGTCGAATTGATTGCCTCAGCCAAGTTGGTCGTCATGTGTCCATATCGATATCCACCATCATATGCGTTTGTCCACATTTCTTTATCGATGAGGCTGATGTAATCGTATCCTTCCTCGTTCTTCGCCCGCAATTCTTGAAGCATAGATTCAAATGTTTGAGGAAGTAGTTCGTAACCTGATCAAAAAATGTAAAACTTACTAACTTTGTTTCCATAAAAAATGAAAATGATCAAAACAAGAAGGGTGGTTTCGCTTACCCATGCGTACAAGTAATTGACGCTCATCATTCTTTTTTAACCTTCCATGGTAGTTCCCAGCAATGTGTCAGATACAATACCTATGTTGGACATAGGGTGGCTGCCAAAATAGACCCAAAGACTCTATTGCTGCTTTGATCCCAGCTCTGCGATCTGAAATGACACATATTTTTTCCCTCGTGATAACATGTGAACGTAAGTTTCGGAGGAAAATAGACCAAAAATCTGTATCTTCTCCTTGAACGAGAGCAAACGCAACTGGAAGAATGTTGCAATTACCGTCTTGGACAACTGTTAATAGTAAAACTTGATTGTATTTTCCATACAAGAAAGCCCCATCGATCTGGACCACATGCTTGCAGTATTTGACATCATTAATGCACTGTGGGTAAGTCCAAAAAACCCGGTAGAATTGACATCGATCGCGAAGAACTCAATCATTATGGTATGCAGGGGAGGTTTCGAAGTCCACAATTGTCTCAGGATTAAACCTCCGCACCAGCCTAAACCAACTTGGAAGTTCGTTGTAAGATGCATACCATTCGCCGTGAAGTTTTTTAATGGTCAGTTGCTTTGCCTTCCATGCTTTTCTGTATGAGACGGAATACCCATACTGCGATTGGATAGTTGAAATCAACACAACAATAGCTATATGGGAGCTCGTTTTTACCATGGGCATGATGGCTTGGCATATCACTTCAGAGTCCAAGTTGGGATGATCTTGGTTGATCCCTCCAGCACAACATGTATGAGGACCGTTGTATACCGTTAGTTCCCATATATTGTTTTTCCTCTTCCTCTTCGATACACGAACCATCCAATTGCATTCGTTTTCGCGTCGGGAATAGTGGCATACATATTTTGCTGTCGTGGAGCGGGCGACTCTGGATTGAACAGAATTACAGATATTAAAATGTTTTATAGCCATCATCGCTTCTTCTTTGCTTGAAAACTCCATTCCTAAAGATAACACACAATTATTTATTGATGAGTAATATCCATAGTCACCGAGATGAGGCATGTCCGCAAGTTCTAGCCCGTACATTGCACCATAATCAGCTTTATACATGTGTGTTGGAGGGTCAGTTTGTGCCACATTTGAGGGAACTTTGTCTACATCATCATCATCGGAGTTGAATTGTGGTGATTCCGTGTGCATGAATAATCCAGTCTCAACGCCATTCGCACAAGGCTCAAGAAGCGGTTCTTCTGGTGAAGATGATGGTTCCTCCATGCTCTCCACATTTACGTCGAATAACCTACTACTTGTACGCCTTCCCTTTGAACTATAAGACATATCGACATTGAGATCAAAAAAGTTTGCAGTCGAATGCCTCCCCCTGGAGCTTGAAGTCATCGTGTCAAATGGAAACTGCACAAATTGCTGCGTCGATGTCATCTCCATATTAAGGTCAAAGAAATTTGCAGATGAATGCCTTCCCCTAGAACTGGTCTCGATGTTGCCATACAGATTGTTCATGTACCCACCTCGGTACATATTAGAAGGAGTTGCTAATGAATGTCTCCCCATTGAAGTTGATGGGCCGATACCATAATGCGGATTTCCCATTATGACATTAAAATCATTACACATTACTGTAGTTGGGATGTCAACTTGATCAACTTGTTCAACCAGCCCATAGTGGGAGCTTAATGAAAGACCCCGAACAACACACACTTGAACAAACTTTGCATACATCTCAATATCGGCGTCTGAATAACTACTTTGAGAATCAACCATCATTTCAACATCATCATTATTCAATAGTTCGAACGCTGTATAAGTTAATATCAACAATGATGTTGGAAATATGTACTGCAACGACAACTTTCTTCTACTACTTCCAACATGAACCTTCCTTGAAATATTCGTTATTAGCTCCTCAAGAGTTATGTTTCTCTTGAATGATATTTTAACATAATCATTTGATACGAAAACAACACCGGTTTCATCTTCTCGAATTTATCCATCATAAAAAAATAGTTGAAATTCGAGCCATTATTATAATTTGAAAGTGCGACAATATTATATATGCAAAATCAACTGAAACAAACCTAATTAAATAAATAATATATGCACGAAAATATAACACAATAAATTTTTTACACATAAACGTAAATAATTTAATTTTATATTATTATCGTATTGGCAAAAATATTTTGACGTACGCTCCCGCTTTTCAATTATACAACCACAAAAATTATTTGAAAATAATTAATACAATTTTTTTTCAAATATCATATATAATTATCAATAATATTATAAAAGATCGAACGAACTTCTGAATAAAATATAAAATGATTACCCATTTTTTACTGGTTGAGAGGATTATTGTTGTAGTTTCTAGGTTGAGCGGAATTTGTGAGAGAGTTTTAGGGAGAAGGAGTATTTATAACAGAAAGACAATGCTTTAAAGTCGAGAAATTCGGATAAATTATGCAATGTGCGGCCCATGCACCGTGCTATAGTCCTACGTGGCGTAAGGCGCACCTCAGGGGCCACGCTTTAGTCAGGTGTATCAAAGTCAGTATAAGACACGCTACAGGAGGCTCGTCTTACCTCACGTGATGTCAAATTAACGTAAAACACACTGTAAAAGCGCGTTTTACTGTAAAAGTGTTAGATCGATAAAAAAAATTGAAAGGGTGACTAATAGATAATATCATGTGTCAGGGTATTTTTTTGATTTATCAAACGTATTATCTTGATGTCGGTTATTTTTCTCCTATAAAAGAAACCCAAAATTCTCATATCTTATTTTTTTTTATAAGTTTTAGGTTTTACCGTCTTATCTTCGTTAGCTGCCGAAACTTCTTACCATTGCTTGCAAGACGAGGCGAGTCGCCACTGTTCTTAACAATTTTCATGCGTGTATATCGAGAATTCAATCTCTTGTTTATGTTTATAGATTTGAAAATATATTGTTTAATATTTTTGAAGATAGCATTTTTATGTTTATACACTTCGATCAGGTTTTTATTATTGCAAAACGGGTGAAACCGACTTAAACAATTTTTTATTTTTGATCTTTTGTTTTTTTAGATTTAGGCTTAAAATCACCAATTTTGAATTTTATGAATATCGATTTTTGTTTCTTTTGCTTGGTTTTGAATATGGTTTCACTTCGATATTGGAAATAATTAGGGTTTTAACTTTTCGATTAATTTATTTGTTAAACTCAATTGATTGATAAAGGTTCCCTTTTCTGTTTTAGGCAAATAGTTGGCGGTGTTAAGAATTTGATTGAAAAACATGGCGCATTTTATGAAACCAGAGAATGCGTTGAAGCGAGCAGAAGGTTAGAAACACAAATTTTCCTTTATTAACCTCTGTAACTGCTTTTTGTGAATGTATGCGGCCCTTTTTTTGATATTAGAACAATTGTTTGCTTTTAATGTGAATCTGGCTTGTGGAATCACTGCCTGTGGTTTTTATGATCTACATGATTGTGCGACTTTGTGATGGAGTTTTGCAGAGTTGATTAATGTGGGGCAGAAGCAAGATGCATTGCAGGCACTTCACAATGTAATAACTTCAAAGAGGCACAGAGCTTGGCAGAAGTCGCTTGAAAAGATAATGTTCAAATATGTAGAACTGTGTGTTGACATGCGGAATGGCCGGTTTGCCAAAGATGGTCTGATTCAATATCGGATCGTATGTCAACAAGTGAACGTTAGTTCTTTGGAGGAGGTTATCAAGCACTTCATGCATCTTTCTACTGAGAAAGCCGAGCAGGCTCGTAGTCATGCACAAGCCCTAGAAGAAGCTCTTGATGTTGATGATCTTGAAGCTGATAAAAGGCCAGAAGACTTGATGCTAAGTTACGTCAGTGGAGAGAAAGGAAAGGACAGGTCTGATCGTGAACTTGTTACTCCTTGGTTCAAGTTTCTTTGGGAGACGTATAGAACGGTGCTTGAAATATTACGGAACAATTCTAAGTTGGAAGCACTCTATTCGGTATTTCAACTTCCCATAAACTCTGCTCATTTCTTCAACTTTTGACTACTATATAAAATTCGGAACACCCATTTGGAGCGTTATGATTTAAGTACCGCTATGTTCTTGCATGCTATTTCTTTTTTTATCAGATTTGAGTACCTAACCCTTCAGTGCTTTACATTGTGATCATTTATGATTCACCTGAATTTGCTCATACAGTGATTATTTATGATTTAGTAGAATCAATGGTTTGTTATTTCTAGTATTAGAATCTTGAAGCTTGAAAGGATACTTCGAGGAATATATGACAATTCATTATTAGAAAGAGAATTTGGTCAACAAAACTTGATTATGCTCTTGGTGATTTGGTCTGCACACTTTTACAGTGGACATATAATGGAATGAGTGTCTTATTTTGTGTTAATGTGCACTGGGGAATGCCTTATTTCATTGATAATAGTAACATTTTTTTTACGTATTTATTTGGAATGACACATCTTTCTATTTTTCAAATACCTCTAGATGACTGCACATCGCGCATTCCAGTTCTGCAAGCAGTATAAGCGAACAACAGAGTTCCGAAGGTTATGTGAGATTATAAGGAATCATTTAGCAAATCTGAATAAATATAAAGACCAGAGGGACAGACCTGACCTATCTGCACCAGAGAGCTTGCAATTGTATCTTGATACAAGATTTGAGCAGCTAAAAATTGCTACTGAGCTTGGACTTTGGCAGGTCTGTTGTTGCTTTGTTTCTTCTGTTTGTTCTTAATGGGTAAGTGTACTGTTTTGTAATGGATAAATTTTAGTAATTCTGTTGCTCGTCATGTTCTTTTGCAGGAAGCTTTTCGTTCTGTTGAAGATATTCATGGATTGATGTTTATTGTCAAGAAAACTCCCAAGGCTTCGTTGATGGGGGTTTATTATGCCAAGTTAACTGAAATATTCCGGATTTCAGGCAGCCATCTTTATCATGCTTATGTGTGGTTCAAGCTATTTTCACTTCAAAAAAGCTTTAATAAAAACTTAAGTCAGAAGGATTTGCAGTTGATAGCTTCATCAGTTGTTTTGGCTGCACTGTCAGTGACTCCTTATGATCAAATGCTTGGTGCATCACACTTGGAACTTGAAAATGCTAAAGAGCGCAACCTCCGAATGGCAAATCTTATAGGATTTAATCTTGATTCTAAACTTGAGAATAGAGAAGTGGTATGTTGTATAGAATATCATTCGCTTTCATTTTCCTTTTTCTTTATGACAACCTATTCTGACATTATTCACTTTTTACAGTTTTCAAGGTCATCACTTCTTACAGAACTGGTATGTCCTAATTTTATAAGCTCTATTGGTTTGTTTGTTTCTTTTTTTTCTCTCTGTTGCTTTTACTGATTTTGGAGTTTGTTTTTGATGAATTACAAAGTTTAAATTGCTCAAGAGTTTTTTTTTTTTTTTTTAAAAAGGAATGTTGCTGATTGCTATCAGCTGGTTGCTTATATGCCTTAACAATGATGTTTCTCAAATCAATTTTAGTCTAATGGAACTCAACCAGTAAGGCCTTTAATATCAAACTAGTTGGGTTTGCCTGCATGGAACACTTCCTCTATTCTACTTGATTAAGGCAAAATATAGGTCTTGCATTATTTCTAGGTTTTTATAACATTAAAAATTTGTTCTGTACCTGTATCTGTTTGAGGTTCGTAATCTTTCTATTCGTGAAGTGACTTGCTCTTTCTGTTATCTGCACAAGTTTTTAAGTGAGGCTTATCGAGTGTCTCCTCTCTCTCTCAGAATGTTAGGGGATACTGAAGGAGCACGGGTTCTATGTTTATCTAACTAGAAACTTTTGAATTTCAGGTTGTTAACTAAACTGTCTGTTCTTGTTCCCTTATTTTTAGGTCTCTAAAGGTGTACTTAGTTGTGCAACTCAAGAAGTTAAAGATCTTTACCATCTTTTGGAACATGAATTTCTCTCTCTGGATGTAGCATTAAAGACACAGCCTCTGTTGATGAAAATATCAAAACTGGGTGGAAAACTGGCTTCAGCTTCATCTATTCCAGAAGTTCAGCTCTCTCATTATGTTCCAACGCTTGAAAAGCTTGCTACCCTTAGGTTGCTTAAGCAGGTGTTTTCTTATGTTTATTTCTTTTATTTGTTTTCAATTGCTTTATACCCTCTTTGTTTATTTATGCTTGATTTTCTCAATGCCGTTCTCTCTTGTTTGTCCAGGTGTCTCAGGTTTACCAGACAATGAAAATTGAAAGTTTGTCTCAAGTTATCCCCTTTTTTGATTTTTCAATGGTTGAAAAAATTTCTGTTGATGCTGTGAAACATAAATTCATAGCCTTGAAAGTTGACCACATGAAGGGTGTTCTACTATTTGGTAGTATGGTAAGGGTTTTGGTTAATATTTCTGGGATTTATGTACTTTGTTCATATTCCTTAAAAGTGTCTGCATGGCATAGGATACGTTTATTTATTTCTCATTATTTTGGTATTTTCAGGGTCTTGAATCTGACAAGTTTCGTGATCACCTGACTCTTCTTGCTGAGTCTTTGAGTAAAGCTAGAGCCATGATATACCCTTCTACCAAGAAAGCGTCAAAGTTGAGTGAAGTTTTACCAGGTTTAGGGGAGATTGTAGATAAAGAACACAAAAGGCTTCTGGCTAGGAAATCAATTATCGAGAAAAGAAAGGAAGAACAAGAACGTCAACTATTAGAAATGGTATCCCTATTTTAACTGCAAGTTGCAGAGGCAACATGAGGTTTCCCTATTTAGCAAAATATTGGAAATTAATTCCTAAACTCATAGGCCTGCTTTTCATGTGTACTAGGAACGTGCGGAGGAGTCGAAGAGGCAGATGTTGCAAAAGAAAACTGAAGAAGTTGAAAAAAAGAGACTTGCTGCTATGTTTGAGCAACAGCGAGCTGAAAGAATCCGTAAGGAAATCGAAGAGCGAGAGCTTGAAGAGGCACAGGCACTGCTACAGGAAACTGAAAAGCATTTGAAAAGAGGGAAAAAGAAACCAATTTTAGATGGGGTGAGCATCCATTTTTTCTTATCATGAAGTTCCTAATTCATAATGAAGTTGCTTTTTGAAAATGCATGTGTATCCAGGAGAAATTGACGAAACAAACCTTGATTGAGCGGGCAATGACCGAGCAGCTCAAGGAGAGGCAGGAGCAGGAGAAGAGACTGCAAAAAGTTGCCAAAATAATGGACCATCTGGAAAGGGCAAAGAGAGAGGAGGCAACACCCTTGATTGAAGCTGCTTTTCAACGACGATTGGTAGAAGAGAAGGCACTTCATGAACATGAGCAACAGGTGGGTTCTTAATTCACTATTTTATTATGGCACCTACTTTTACAGAATTGAAGATATACTACCAAATTTTCCGATGTGTCCACCTTCATTTGCATATTTATATTTTGAAGGTTGGACTGTTAGTTCTATGTTGCACCATCTTTGTTTAGTAGTAAGTTTATTTTGTAGTTTTTTGCCATTGCAACCTTCTGGTAATATCATCTGTGATTCTGATTTTCTGTCATATAGATGGAAGTTGAGTTGAGCAGACAGCGCCATGATGGGGACTTGAAAGAGAAGAATAGATTGGCACGCATGTTAGAAAAGAAGGTGATTACCTTTTTGTATTCGTGGACTTCTGCTCCTGAGATGACTTTTTTGCAGCTTCCTACGTCTTCTCTTCATAGGGTTTAACATTTTAATAGAGAATTTTGGTTTCTGCCTTCCCAAAGATGATATTCCAGGAAAGAGTAATCAATCGTCGGCAAGCTGAGTTTGACCAGCGTAGAGCGGAGAGAGAAGAGAAAATCAAACAAATCATTCTGGCCCGCAAGCAAGAAAGAGATATTAAGAGAAAGAAAATATTCTATGTGAGGTCTGAAGAGGAGAGAATAAGAAAGCTGCGTGAAGAGGAGGAAGCTCTAAAACGCGAAGGTATAATTTATACATGTTTAATTACATTTCATATACTTGACATTGAAAAACTGTATTCCATTTTTGTGTAAGCTCGGTGATATTTTCCTGTAGGTAATTATGGTTCACTTGATTCATAAACTTCCTTTTTTCATTAGAATAAAATTATGTCTCACATGTTAACTCAGAAATTTAATCATTTTGTTCAATCTCATTTCGGCTTGTTATTTGAATTCCAGGTACTTTTTCGTTTATAATGTTACTCCTTATAGAGGATTTTTTGGAAGTGTGTATGGATAGGTATGAACCAACAAATATATACTTTCATGATCTCATCTAACTTATTTATTGGCGCTTTGAAACTTGCAGAAGCTGAGAGACGAAGGAAAGAAGAAGCTGAGCGCAGAGCAAAATTGGATGAGATAGCCGAAAAGCAGAGACAAAGAGAACGAGAACTGGAAGAGAAAGAGAAGCTGAGGCGAGAAGCACTCTTAGGAAAGTCAAATGAGGGGCTTTCTAGGCCTTCTGAGCTTCCTGCCAGGTCCTCTACTGAGCCTGGAGTTGCTGCTTCTGCCCCATCTTCTGGGAAATATGTTCCTAGGTTCCGTCGAGAAAAAACTGAAAGCTCCAGTCCAGCTCCACCTTCAGAACCTGATCGCTGGACCAGGCCTGCACTCTCAGAATCTGATCGACGCCCTCCTGGAAGCAGGGCCCCTCCATCACAATCTGATCGTTGGACTAGTGGCAGCAGTGTTCCACCTCCGGATTCTGATCATTTTGGCAGTGGTGGTAGCAGGGGCTTACCTCCAGATTCAAATCGTCCGGGTGGTGCTGGTAATACTGGCAAACCAGAACCTTGGCGGCCTTCAAGATCCAGGAATCAACGAGGTTGATCCAACTTCTCTGAAATAAAAAATTTGCGCGAAATTATATATGGTTGGAGGTGACACTTGAGAACTCTAGCTTATTTATTTGTTGTTTAATAAGACTTGGGTGGATTCCTAGTTTTGGTGAGGCTGCTGGTGAGGAATATCAACTTCTGTAGAACCTCTCGAGTCTTGTTAATAATGGCGAATTTTGTTTCTAAACTTTCTTTGTGCTGCTTGCTGCCAAAGGATACATTATGTTTTTTAATCTATGAAACATCATCACTTGAGCTATTTGGAACAGATGGTTTACAATGGTTATAAGAGCTTTTATATGGGGGGTTTCTTTAGGCTATCACAGCCTAATATCATAGTCTAAAAACTTGGGAGCAGGTTTAATTTAGAAGCCTTTTATTGTTACGGTTGGATGGCAGGTTGTTCTTCTGATAAATCAAGGGTAAATTACATAATTAAGTCCCTGAACTTTTAGGATACTTGTATTAGTCACCGATTTTTAAAACTTATTATAGTCATTGAATTTTTAATCTGCTGTTACCGGAAGTTTTAAAAGTTTGGTGGATAAGATTTTAGTGCACTAAAAGTTTAGGGACCATTTCATGTAGTTTGCCCACAAATTAATTCATCAGGCGTTATTGATTTTGTTATTATTTTTTTAACAAAATCGGTAAAAATTACCGAAAATATTATTATTTTTACTGGAAATGTTATTATTGAGCGTTTTATCGGGTTTGGTAATATATCTGATAGAAAAAAATAATGTTTTAGGTAACGTTTACCGAGTATATTATCAAGCTCGGTAAATTACTTAATAACATTTCCGGTATAAATAATAATGTTTTAGATAATTTTTACTGAAAATATAAAAAAATAATAACAAAACTGATAATATTTTTCCTTAACCGCCGTACCGTTAACTTTCTTCAATTTTCCAGCAAGAATGATTTGGAGCTTTGCTTTTTAACAAATAACTTTTTACCTAAAATTGTTATAAATAAAGCTACCAAGTGGAGTAGACTGCGAAAACAATACCAACAGATTGTTTATTGTATCATTTTAAGTCATTTATTTCTAATTTTGGAGAAGAAAATTAATTACATCATGCCATAAAAAAATTTCTCATAAATACTGAAATTGGAATTAAGAAACGGTGGAATCTGATATTTGGAGAATAGATTAATTGGAATAACCGGGGGATCAAATTAAAGCTTAAATTAGACGTGAAAGCTAATTAATATTCCCTCCCTACTTTTACACATAAAGAAAATTAGTTTAAGCTGCTTTTACAATTTGTTTAACAGATGGAAAAAGACCACCATAAAAGGGAGAAAAAAAAAGTTTTCAGGGCAATTAGTGAATATACGATGTCCCATAAGTAAATAACTAAAATTATTGTTATATATTGGACGGACCCCATGAACACAGGACAGCGTGTCATGGCTTTTGGTTAAACAAACAAATTATGCGATATAAATTATATAAATATATATTAAATACGTTGTTGTTTTATCTTATTTCGAGAAAAGTTAAACATATTTAGTATTCTATCGTTTATTGACATTTTTAGTTAATTTTTAATTTTGATTAATTATTATTTAAAATTTATTATTAATAAAAGTATAAAAATATATTTTAAAATTTTCGATTAGTTTTAAAATATATATTTTATAAAATTTAATTATTTAAATATTTAAAATAATTATTTTCAAAATTTTAAAAAATTATACTTCTAAAAAGTAAAGGAATAAATTTAATGTGACAGAAGGTGTGCTAATTAATGATTGACGAGTAGTTTTATCTGTATAATCATATATTTTGAACTTTATAAATTTTATTAATATTATATTTTCAGCTTCATAAATTTTATTAATATCATTAATTAAAATTCGTAATCATAATTTTAATCATTATAATAATGATGTTCCAGTTAATAATGCTAGTATGACTATTTATTATTCTGATTTGGTGATCATATATGAAGATGATATGTTATAGGGATTTAATTATTATTATTTAAATGATTTTGAGGGTATAATTATTTTTTATAAAAAATTAAAAGTTTATTTATTCTTTAAATAAAAAATTTAAGAATTTAATAAAATTTTAAATGCTAAAAAATATAATTATAAATTATAAAATACTAAAAAACTATGTAATTTTTTGTATAAATTTATAACTGTTTCATATTTTTTAAAATTTAAAATTTAAAATATTTTTTTGATTAATCTAAGTAAGTATAAGATAATATATGAAATCTGAAGGAATAATAATAATTTTTTCACTACCTAAATCACTTTGTTCATGTCATTTAAACATAATTGTCTAAAAGATAAAGGCCATTTGCGTACTTTCATAGTAGCCTCGGCGATGAGGTGACGGAGGAGTTGTGTAGGCCATAATTGTTTAAAAATAATTTTACCTACGTTCATATTTCCATTTAATTTTGTTACCAAAATGGGAATTACTTACTGCACGTAAAAGTAAAAATCAAGCTGTGCTGTTCAATGTATATAAACCACTACGGCTGAAACTTATTATTATCAGGCGCTGCAAAAACCAAAAAGAAAATATATATTTTTTCTTTGTTTTCAGTTCCGTCTTCCTCTTCGCAGGTAAATTTTTCTGTTTTTATTGTTATGGATTTTCGAATGCTTACTTAAACTGGGCTTTAATTCAAATGGAAAACAGGGTTGTTTAGATTCTTATAGCTGCTTTCATTTTGATCAATTTGACGAATTTTGGTTGATGTTACGCTCATGGAATCCTGATTTCAATGGTAACAGAATTGTTTCCTTTTTCTCGAGAAAAATATTTTTTATATCTTTAAGAAATGGTAATGGTACATTTTTGTTCTGTTTTTTTTTGTGCTAAAATTCGATAAATTTTGTCAATGGAAATTTGAGCTTGTGATCTGGGCTTTTATTGTTCTTTATGGTGATGCAGATCGAAGATGATAAATGTAATAGATAAAAGTGGTAGTCTTTGTTTCATAGTCTGTCTCTAGAAGATTTGTATTTAATTTTCCAATACCATTTGAGTAAAGGCCAAGGAAAACCAAAAATAATTATAGTATCTTTGTAATTGATCGATTTGGGTTACTGTTTTCTCGTGAATCAAAGAAGATTGATATTTATTTTGGTTTGAGTAGTAGAGATCAATACTTGGGTGCTTTTTGTTTTTGGATGCAAGAATAGATGGTACGGGGAGGGAAGGTTGGTCATAGAAGCAATTTTAAAAGAAGGGTTAGATCAAAAGATGAGGGTTCAGACGATTCGGACGAAGATTACGTAGCATCTAAAGATGGTTTTGGGAGTTTCATTGATGATTACAAGGAGGAAAAGAAAGAAGTGAGAAAGGTTGTTAGGTTGAAAGGTAAACCATTGTCCTCAGCAAGGATGAGGAAGATAGTGAATAGGAAACCACGAACGCGGAAAGTTGTATCCGACTAAGAAGTGAGGATGAGGATTATGAGGAGGTGGAGCCAGAAGAGGAAGATGATGAAGTGGAATTCACCTTGGATGAAGAAGATTGTTTGGATGAGGAAGAGGAGTTGACTATGAAAAAGAAGAGAAACAATAAGAATGTTAGTAAGCAAGGTTTGAGGAAAAGGAGAGCTTCTATCCATAGGACAAAGAGGAAGAAGTCTGCAGTTGCTAAGAAGCCTTTGAAAAAAGGGGGAAGGAAGAAACGTCAATTGGAAAAGAAAAGGAGAATTCAGGAAGAAGACGATGACGATTGTGATTTTATAGACAAAGCTCCGATTGCGAGGAAAAAGAGAAGAACAAATGGAGGACAGAGGAGAAAGGCATACGTATATGTTCTGATTCAGATTTTGTTTCATCTGGATCTTCTGATTATGAGTATACAATCTCAGAAGAAGAGAGAGAACAAGTGAAAGAAGCCAACCGATTGTGTGGAAGTATAAAAACTAGTCTGAGGAGTTCATCGTCCTCGAAGACAATTCCGGAGGTTGAGGCGTTAAGCCAACGTAAGAAACCTCCAGGAAGAAAGGGTAAGGAGAAGATAGAGCAAACAAAGGCTGAAGTAATAAAGCAGGTCTGTGGCGTTTGCCTCTCCAAGGAAGATAAGCGAAGATTGAGAGGCAAACTAAACTGTTGCAGTCATTATTTTTGTTTCACCTGCATTATGGAGTGGTCGAAAGTGGAGTCTCGTTGTCCTTTGTGCAAGCAAAGGTTTGAAACAATCATTAAGCCTGCCAGATCAACAGCAGGAGTTGATTTGAGAGATGTGGTGATTCAAATTCCCAAGCGTGATCAGGTACCTTATCCTCACAATAGTTTTTGTGTTACGGTTTTCATTTTCCTTGCTTTATATGGTTTCAAATGAGCATGTTTGTTTTTTTTCCAGGCATACCAACCATCTGAGGAAGAACTAAGAAGCTATCTCGATCCATATACGAATGTGATTTGTTCTGAATGCAGCCAAGGTGGAGATGATGAACTCATGTTACTGTGTGATATTTGTGATTCATCAGCTCACACCTATTGTGTTGGTCTCGGGTGGGAAGTGCCTGAAGGCAATTGGTACTGTAGCTTTTGCAGACCCGTTGTTCTTGGTTCTTCTAGTTCCCAAGTTCAAGATTCCTTTCCGGATCAAAGGACAATAAACAATTTGTACAATCGATTGTCAACCATTGCAAATCGAGAAAGTTTAGACTCCATTAGAGTACCTTCACCTTGTACGCCATTCCCTCCAGGTTTTGCTGGTCTTTCATCTCCTAGATTTCTTGTTGTAGATATTCCATCTGTTTCTCCTGTACCTGGACTGGGAGCCCAAACTCTGACAGGAAGACGATGGTTACACCGCCAAATTAAAAATCTCCGTTCGATGAACAGGATGAATCTTATGGCCGGTAGGCTTGATGGGGTATCAACTGCCAATATCGGCATCGATTTTGTAAACTCTCACATCGATCAGAGTAGGCAAACAACAGTTCAACAAGCTAGGACACAACATATGGTGACTCAGCATCAAATGGTATTTGCAGAAGGGTTACAGGATGATCCCTCTTCATTGCAAAGTAGGGACTTCTTTCTCCGAGGTCGGGCGATTTGATGTTGTGGCCTCAACTTGCTGGTATCAGTTCAAATGAGCAACTCTATCAGTGCAGCAATGGCTCAAACATCAGGCCCGATGTTTATGGTTCATCTTCTTCTTCCATGGCCAAGGAACAATTGCAAGTAATTGTTAGAAACCAATTGAAAGCCTTGTCCAATAATACCGATTTAGGTAAGTGAAGACAATCATGTTTGCGAATGATTTGTATTAGTGATTAATTGAGTTCTGCCTAATGTTTTTCTAACTGCCTTTTATATACGTATACGTGCAGACAACGGTGCTTTCACAGACATAGCCACAAACTCCGTGCACACCATATTGGCTGCTTGTGGACTTGAGCATAAGAGGAGCGAAGTTCACATTGTCCCGCCGCTGTCAAATTGTACGCACATTGAAAGAGTGGCTGCCGGACAGGTGAGCTTAATGAAAGGTTGTTACCGAACTTGTTTCGATTCTTTTGTAAAAGATGTAGTCAAGAGGATAATGGATACAAGATCCAGGCAGTGGTTAAGTTCAACTCTTTAGGCATTTGATGTAGTTAATGCATCTTTTTGCATACTTATTTTTTGTGGGTTAGGATTTAGAAACTTTTTTTAATATAGAAAACCATTTTTTTCATTGTGTTGATTTATACATACTATTCACCATAATAGATGATTGTTATTTAGACCCAGCAATGTCAAGATTTTCACTACAAACAGAGAATGAACCATAGATGAAGTGGAAATCATGCTCAGGTCTAAAAACCAATAGTCTACTTGCATCATAAAACTACATTCATTCATTCATACAAACCTTATTTCAACATTTTCCCTATAAACAGAGTAATGAACCATAGATTTGCTGTTGGGGGCTTTGTCCTCAACTCGATGTCCCTGAGGATTTGGATTCATGATTGCATTGCAGCAACCGATTTGAACCCGAGAATGTTTGTTTTATAAAATATCATATGGAATTGTGGACAACAGCAGCCCTTGAATGAACTCGCATCTTTTCGTCTTCTCTTCCTGATCCTTCAATGAAAGGGGAGATGACTTTGCATTTCTGTCATCAAAACCAAATATCAAAATGAGAGCTGATAACGTGCAATACAAATCATCAAAGATTTTTCCTTTGAATAAGGTCTTTAATGCTAAAAGCCAGATGTGACTACCTAAATAAACAAGCAAAAACAGAGACTACCAAAACGAATCCCACCCCCATTCTCAAAGAATGGCATCAGGTCGCATCTCCGTCTCATGACCGAGTCTAATTCGTAAACACTACATATTTTTGTGTTACAGTAAAGGAAAAGAAGTCTATGATACGATCCAGTATTTTATCTACCAGTAAATAAACAGATAAAAGATCATGCACATTTGAATTACCTACATCAAGCAACGAGGGGAAAAGAGGAGCGTTGAGATCTTAAAACGCAGTGAAACTTACCTTTCAGGCTTACTCACGTCTGAAATTTTCTTAGTTGTTCTAGTTTCTCGAGAACAATGAGGCTGGACACTAACAAACTCATCAACTGTGGGTAAAATAAACGAAGACAGCAACGGATCAGGTGCCGAATTGGAAGAAGACACCATACAGGAACCCCCAAAGAGGGACTGTAGATTTCCTTCTCGCAGCTCTTTCCTCAGAAGAGAAAGTGTCGAGTGAGATCCACCTTTACGTGCTTTCCTCCTGCGCTGCATGTGCCCAATCGTTAAGGAAATGGCAGTGTTTTAAGACAAGACCTTACAATGATGTAACGGTGGTATAAGAAAGCCCGACAAACAACGCTAGTAACGGACAGGGAAGTCATTCAGAGTACCAACTTAAATGGTTTTAAATCCCAGGTTCCCAAAAGTCAAAACAAGGAACATAGGTGAAAAATGTTTGCAGGTAAAATGGAGAAACAACAATCAAAGTTATAAATTCAGTAGAACGGAATAATACTCAAGGTGCATGTCATGCTTCAAAAGATAGAACGTATTCTATACAGTTAAAAGAGGAAATTAAACAGACATTCGTATAAATAATAACTCGATAGAAAAGGATATCTTAAATATATTTCCATGTTGTAGGTCATATGCGCAACCAAATCGACGCCCACCCTCACTGCACAGACTGGACAAACCTGCAAACAATAACAATCATCACAAACAGAGTTTAGATTCAACAAAACCCTTTTCCTCATTCGAATAAACAAAACAATCTATAAACAATAACTATTAAACTTCTTTTCTTGATGCTTACATATTACAAATCAAAGAACCATTTCTCTTTGTTGGGAACAATATAATAATACCCACTGAATCATCAAAATCAACACTAGAGCACATTTTTTCCAGTTAGCTGAACTTAAAGTTCATCCAAATTTTCAACCTCATAACAAGCACATATATTCTAACTATCACAAGACTCAATTAAGTAAAATAACAACGAAGTTGTAACTCGAGTCCAGAAATCTTAAAATTTGAAACTTGGGACCATTACAAGCAAAACAATTTTTAATTCCCTTTAACCATCTAATTACGGATTCAAAAATCAACTCAGTTAAGTGAGCTATGCTACTTTGATCAAATATTGATTACAAAGAGAACAATCATTTTAAAAATTAAACAGGGTATTACGTAATTAATGAAAAATAAAATAAAAAGAGTTACCCCATTTTTAGCCTCCACTGGATGTTCTTCATCAATGTGACAGCACAAGCCAACGATATCGAAATACTCTGAGCAGAAAGGGCATCGAAATTCGTCTCTTATTTCATCTTCTCCATCTATTTCTTCAAACCCCATAAATATATCTGCAATTTCAACCCATTTCCAAACATTAAATCATTTCCTAATAAAAAGGCAAAAATTATTCTTGTAATCAATTAAGTCCAGCTACTTCATTTTCACGCAGATACAAAAAAATGTAAAAATTGAAGTATTTAGCTCCAAAATAAAAGTTAAAAAAGAGAGATTGGATTTTTAAAGCTTACCAGATCGTAATTGAAGAGCCGATTGATATCTCTTAGATGCTGAAGAAAGACGAGCAGTCCATGAATCAGCATCCATTTCTAAACCAACCTCTTTATCAAATAAAATTTCAACCCAAGAAAGTGAAAGAGGAGGAGGTTTTCTGGACTTTGGGGTTTGATGAAACACGATAAAGGAAAAAGAGCTGCCAGCTGCTGTTCCTCTTCGAAAGTGAATTTCGTCGAAAGATGAAAATAAAGTTATCAAGTCTTTGCCTTTTATATTACATTTCTCTAGCCATTACATTTTTTATTTCGTTAAACTACGCCATTCTTCCTCAGAACTTTTAGAAACTTGCATTTTAGTCACCGAACTTTTAAATCTTATACTGTATCATTGAACTTTTATTTCGGTCTAGGGATGGCAAAAAACCCGAACCCGACGGGAAAAACTTAAAACCGAATTAAACGGTTCGGGTTCGGGGATGAAAACGGGGACGGTGAAAAATCGTTTATGCTAAACGGGGACGGGTTTGGTAATCTCCGCCCCAATTACCCGATGATCCGGCCCGATAAATATTAAAAATAATTATTATATATATATATATAATATTAATAAATTTAATTTAAATTAAAATATATATATAATATTTATATATTTAATTTAAATATATATATACCCGGCCCGATACCTGTTTAAATAACCGTTTATGCTAAAGGGGAATAGTCGTTTCCCCGCGGTTTTCCCCGATTACCTGATGGAGATCCCCGTTTAAATCACCGCGGTTTTTTAAACGGGACGGGTACGGGTTTTTTAAACGGGGACGAGGACGGGGGAGCAATGCCCAGCCCCCGACCCGTTGCCATCCCTATTTCGGTCACCGTTTAAGATAACGACAGTGATCATAACTAAAATAAAAATAAATTCAAAATAACAAAAATATAAATGTATTATGAATTCAAGAATCATTTAATGAGTAAAATTTCTTATATTATTTGTGAAATTATTTCTATATGTACACTAATCATGTATAATATGTCAATCCAGAAAGAAGTTTCACTAACTGCATGAATGTTGGGATACTATCCTCAAAGAAAGGATAATGTCTCAATTATGATAAATAGAACACTTACTAGAAACATTAATGCAAGTAAATTAACTACAATTCCCTTTTGATCATTGTTCACTCATTAAAAAGCTACTATTTGCACCACCATCACCCATCACTCTCCCACTCCTTTTGGGTTGTACTTCGCCTCAACTCATTAAAATTATCAAACTATTATAAATTAATCATTAGTCTTTATTAAACTCATATAAAATAATCGTTAAAATTTATTAAACCGTTAAAATCTTTAACTTGTCAAAATGTTTAATTATTTTATATTGTGCAGTGATCATTTTATAATAATTCTTAACAATATTACTTTTGATATTGTTTAGTGACTAGTTGTGTACTTTACCCAAAAAAATTACTTGGATTAGGGTTTTGTTTTGACATTGTATTTGTCTCTAAATTTATCAAGCAAAAACTAAGCCATATGACAAAGCCATCAAAGAAGCTGCCGCATTTTCTTCCTCTCCAAACTTCCTTCTCCTTTGACACCTTTGCTTCTTCACCATCCATGTTAATGATGATGATGATGATCTTTGCAACAAAACTTCGCTGCTCAATGCAATTAATCTGTCTCCAATGGCTCCCTCAACACACTGAATCCGCCACCAAGCTTCAGGTCATCAGCACCAACAGCAATATCATTGGTTATGGGAATAGGAGAGCTTGTTGTGATGGTGCTGGATGATGATGATGTAGATGGTGACGATGAACGCCATTTCACTTTCCTATTTTCTGAGTTTTTATTCAAACCCAAAATTGCTCTTCTCTTCTTCCTATATTTTATCCCACAAGCATTGCAAAGTGACTGAAATACCCCAAAAAAAAACAAATCCCATCAATCATAAGCCAATAACACTTCAAACTTACAGACAAACAAGCGAAAAGGTCATAAAATTATATCTTAAGCAAAGGAAATCAACAGAAAGGTGATGATAGATCGATTATTAGTCAGAGTACAAGACTACTTTTAAGTTTAAGATTCCTCCCATTTATACCAAACCCCTACGCCTGCTCTAAGAAGCTTACAAGTCAAAGATTTATAGTTACAGTAAATGATAATAAAATAAGAAGTTAAAATGATTAGCAATAATACCTTGGGGCCGGCAGGGCCACCTCTCCAAAGAGGGGTCTTTGTGGTTTTGCAATCAGAGCAAAACTTCTTGATACACTCACTCATTGCAGTATCTTCATCCAATGATTCCTGAATCATAAACAGAAACCAAATCAGCATTTAAAAAGAAAAATAAAAGTAGCAACCTTTGAATTGAAGGTGGTTTTTTCACCAACCTTTGCTCTCAGATCCATTACACCCATGAAGCAAGTGTATTCAAAGAGCTTTTTTTCAGTAACCAGCAAGCAAAGAGGGAAGGAGAACAGAGGAAGGGAAACAAGAAAATTTAGAAATCACAACCGAAGTAAGCAAAAGGGAAGAGAGAAGCTCTAGTGATGAGATGAAAATGAGTGGAAAAGCAGAGGAAAAAAATAGAAACTGAAAAGGGACACAGCGGGAGAATGAAACCGACAGGGATAGACAAAAAACCCTAGACAGATGATCTTGAAAAGACGATAATAACCTTGCTAACAGCAAATTGCCGCCTTCCTGTTTGTGTAAAATGAAAAATAGTAGGGCAACACCCGCCAAAATTTTTTAAGGATGGTTCAGTCCACGTGGCAACATTCAGGGAGGTACACAGCTGTTATTATTGTTTTTATCTGTGTGTGTTATTGTTGAGTATTTTAGTACTGAAAGCATAATCATATAAGCCAAAGTTTACCCCCCTTCAGGTTAAATGCAATAATTGATCTAATTATTTAAAATATAAAATATTAAAAATAAATTTAAACATTCATGAATAATTTTTAAATGTAAAAATTATTTTTACTCAAGATTAAAAAAATATTAAAATACTATTAGTATAATAATTAAAATTTAAAATATTTAATAATATTTAAACATTATAAAATAAAAATATTCTATTAATAGTGTATTAATATGAGAGATTTACTATTACAAAGTTTTATCAATTTCTGAGACTTAAAAATATCCACGATCTTCATTATTTATTCATATATCAATTACTTGATGAGAGATAAATATTAATTTATATATATCTTATTTTTTTCTCTAACAAATATTAATTTTTAAAAATAAATCAAAAGAAACTTAAATTAAAATCGGTTTTCGATTTCAAATTACTTCTAATTTAGAATGATTCAAGTCGATTAGACACAGACATGACAGTTCTTTTCTTTTGAAGTAATGAGGTCAAATGGGAAACAAAGAACATATAAAACAGCAGATATAGTGATCAAATACTATTTCCACTTCAGTGTAGTTTTCAAGGCAGCTTCTAATGAGCCCTTCACAAAAAATATATATAAATAAATCAAAATGGACAATTTTTGATGAATGAAACGATGAACACTGACAGTCGTTCGGATTTACATAGAAGAAAAAGCATATTCCCATGTTACTAACTGTTCTGGAACTATGCCCAAATCAAGATATTGCATAGACACTAGACAACTACCATGGAGGCTGACAAATATTTATTTTACGACCCTTAAATATAAAACACTCGCTCTGTCTGGTTCCTGTTTTACTTTAAACACATCCCCAAAGCTCTATTCTGTTACTATCCCCCCTTTCTTCATCTTCATAGTATGAACCCGGCTGTGTCGTTAAACCACACCAGCCTAATACCCCCGACACGGACTCTCGACCATACACAACCATGGACACGATAGCCAAAGACAAGACCTCACCTGGATCTCCGTAAGGACTTCAATACAGGACCAGATGAAATTCCTGAAATATAAACAGCTCGTAAAACAACATAAAATGCTAGCTGCAAAGAAACAAATGTGCATGCAAACAGGAAAATACCACATACCTCTAGCTGAAATTGAATCCCCCTGAAGGAACTGGAAGCTCACCCCCTCCAAAATGAAACCCTGTTTGAGAGGCATCACCTGGCGGCATTGTCTCATCCTCCTCCTCCAACCAATATGTCTCGAGAATTTTCACAGCCTTTTCATAAATCTCGGTGTTGTCGTGGGACTGTAAATTCTCAATCTTTTCTAGACCCTCTGCATCGTCAATCATCTGTGCATAGACATTCACTCCGCCAGTACTGCCCAGGTTCTTATCAGCTTCTCCAACCTTCAAAATGTTTTCAAGCCCTTCTAAACAAACTGTAACTATCCTTGGATCAGGGCAGTTGAGAAGATCACACAATGGCTTGATACAACCTTGACTTACAAGGAATCTGAAATATGTCACGTACCCAGATTATAACTTATCATTTAATAATCTAGCAAAACATATCACAATAGTTTTCGTACTTTATCTGATCATGAGTACCACCGGACGTTGCATTTGAGATGGCCCATGCCGCTTCTTTCTTGATATCAAATTCAGCATTTTGAAGCAGCTGAACCAGTGGAGCTATAATATTAGCTTCAATCACAGCCTACAAAATTCACAGATCCAAAATTAATAAAACCAAGATAAATATCAAGGCAACAAGAATGTGGTAACAGTTCCAATGTATACCTGTATCTGTTCCTTATTTCCAGCTGTGATATTTGAGATTGTCCAACAAGATTCCTTATTGATGCTCTTCTTAAAATTTTTTGTCAAGAGATTTAAAAGGCATGGCAATGCTTGATGATTGATAATATACTGTGTGCCAAAAACATTTTCCCAAAATAAGAAAAAATGGATATACTATATAAGCAAAAATACAACCTTTAACAACTAGACCCACAAAATTCTTGTATCATGTTTACAATGTAAGAGGAAGACCGTCACTGTGGTTTGAGTGAGAAAACTAAATTGCAAGTGATCTGTACTCCTTGTAACATCTTTAAAAGAAGAAAACCTCGGAAGTGGCTAATACCTGGGTTTGCGTATCATCCCCTGTGACAATATTTCCAACTGTGCGAAGAGCAGGAATAAGCACACTAGGAGATGGGTGCCTGTGAAAGCCGTAGAATTTTAGATTTTGGTCAACCAAACAAAACAAATAAATCAAATATAAAAAGACTCGGAGATTTAATCAGCAGCAGATAGTCTAACTCACATCAGAAGTTCCACCAGACGGCCACAAACATTGGCTTCTATAACAGCTTGGATTTTGTCATTTGTACCATCAGAAAGATATGAGAGAGACCAACATGCATCAGTTAAGACTTCTTCATCATTTGAACAAATGAGGAGTGCCAATGCAGGAAGTGCAGGTTTGACCTGAACAATAAATAAATGATAAAGTAATAAGATAAATTCAAACCCAAAACCGAATGCCATACAGCATCTCAAATCTCAAAGGAACACAAAAGACAATGATTTTCACAGTAAATCAATAGCCATGAAAATGAACAAACTTGGGAATCCTTGTTAAACCAACAACAATTCCTCAAGAAAACAAGGTAAAGAGGGTCAAACCAGATCAAAGGGAGGCTGGGGCTTTCCCCGACAAAAATTTGATAGCGTCCATGTAGCATTCCTCAGCATAGAAAGATTAGCATGCTCATTTAATTGTGCCAACAAAGGAAGCAAAGCACCATGACCAAGAACCAGATCACGACATCTAGGAGAATCTCCTGCAACATTTCCCAATGCCCACACAGCCTGAATGTTCAGTGCAAAAATAGAAGTTAAGATTATATAAAATATTTCACACTAGCTTTTGCCAAGTAAAGTTCAATTTGTCACACTTCTTTATTCTGTCAATAATCAAAATGCCTTCTATGTGCTTACCTGCTCACGAACATCATCACTTGGTGAAGCGAGCAATTTCACAAATATAGGAACAGCCCCATGATCAATTATCACCTTTGTGTTCTCAGATGTCCCAGAAGCAATATTAGTGAGAGCCCAGGCTGACTCAAACTACAGAAAAATGAAATAAGTAAGAATCTTAAACCTAAGAATTTGAAGTCATAAAGAATATTGAAGCTAACAAGAAATCCAACCTGAAACCGAGGGAAATCATCCCTAGTAAGGAATTCAACCAAGCGAGGAACAACTCCTGCTTGTATCACTTGCTCAATGGGTGGGCTGCGTTCTGAGATAAATAACAAAAGATATTACTAGTTTAGAAAAAAAAATTACCATTATCAAACAAAATTATTACAAGATGAATTTCTCACCAATAGAAAGCAATTTCCTAAACTGTGTGGTCGCCTCAAGTTGCATATTACTATCATCACTCCAGACACCAGCAACCATGGCTGGCAAATTTTCCAACTGCAGTGTAAGAGTTGAACGTTATCAGAACAATCCAAAGCAAAAATTGATATTGGTTGTCATAAAATAAACCATGGCAAAACCAAATCCATGGAACATGCATGCCAAATACTGAAATAAACTAAAGAGTAGCCACCTCATTAAGATAATTAGCTAACTTAATCGTAAAGCTTAAAAAAAGAGGGGGGGGGGGAAAGAGCCTCGATAGAAGCGTGACACAAGAAAAATAAAATGGATTGTTTATCCTGTGTACCCGCTACCCAAATGTTTAAACAATATCAAGGCTCCAATAAAATAATCGAAAAACACCAAAAAGTTTTTTAAAAAATACCCCCATCAACATAATTGAAACCTAATATAAGCAAAATTCTCTAAAATTAACAACCGATCATAATCAAATTCAATAAGATTAATAAAAAAACGAACAATCTTCGAATAAGAAAGCTTCGACAGCGGTAGCAACTAAGAATGCTGAAGAATAAACGGAAAAAACAGAACAATGGAAATAGACCCTTTTTTCAACAGCAGACGACTGAAGAGAGGCAGGCATTGGCTGCGCTTGGAGTCCTTCACGCCGCTTCTTCTGCAGACTCTCTTCACGGCGGTTCTTCCTAATCTCCACCATGTTATCCTCCCTCCTCCGCCGACCCTCTTCGGCGTCCACCGCCACTTTGTACCTGTTCCTCCGAGCCACCGTCGTCGTGTTTGGCCTCAAAGACATCTTCTCTAATTTTAAAAAAATAAACCAATGATTTGATAGACCCAAAGCACTTAAAATCGCAGAGTAATTATTTGGAACTTCTAATTAGTTTCAAAATGATTGAATTGAAGAGAGGGAGAGAAGAGAGGGTTTCTATAAGATTGTAGCGGAACCAAATTCTATATAATGGTCTGGATTATAGTTTAATTACAAGTCTACCATTTTTTCATTTTATAAATATTTTAACCATTTAACTAAATGAGACGTATAATCCTTCAACTTGATAATTTTTAACATTGATACCTATATTTTATAATCTTTCTCAACTTGATCCATTTAGTCCATTAATTCTCATATTTAATAAAAAATCAATTTGGTTCCAGTTAACTATTTTAATTAATTCAAATTTAAAATTAAATTGAAAACAGCTGCAAAGTTCAAATTTAAAATTAAATTGAAAACAGCTGCAAAGTTCACGATATTAATATAGACAAAATTAGTTCATATATTAGAAGAAAGTTGTTAAAGTTGAATATTAACGTGGATAATGAAAATCATAGATTAAATTCAAAAAAGTTATCAAATTTTAGGACTAAATATTACTTTATACCTAAATAAATTTAATGTCACCTAAGATTTATATTCAACAGCTATACTAACTTTTGTGGATAATTAAAGTTAAACTTCATTTATAATTTCCAATCCATTGTATAAACGCATTATTATATTTAGCAAAATTCATGTATTAAACACTATATTTAAATTTAATAAGTATATTAAATAAAACTTGAGTTTTAGTTGAATTTACACTTTAATACAAAATTTTGGATATATTATAAGTAATTTAGATATTATTATTTTTCATTTAATATAAGGATTATTTATAAATATAAATTAAAATATATTAATTTGTTTTAATATATTTAAACAATTTAAAGTGAGTGTTATACTAATGGCATATCTTGTTTCATGATTTAAAATATATTAAATTAATATTAAAGTAAAAAATAAAGAAACTGAAAATGTTATAAAACAAATTTATTTATGTATATAATAGACGGGTTGTTAAAATATATGAATTGGACCATGGACCCGCAAGGTACAAAGAGGCATTGTCTTAAGAAATACAGGCTAATATACGTTACAAATACATTATAATATATTTAATAATTTTAGTTTAGCGCTACCGGAAATTTCGAGTACTAACAATATTGTAGGTGGAAATCATGAAGAAATATTAAAAAATTTGGCAACCAGCAAAATTAGCTTGTCGGTTTGTGTTGATACGAATGAAAAATGTATCGCTCCATAGCAATATTACAGGTAAAAATATGACAAAACCGGTCTCGAAATGACAAAATCGGTAAAACGCTACCGGATATGTTGAAAGTGTCGATAATTTAATATAAGTATCGACACTTTCTGAATTTAAAAGAGAATAAGTTATAGCGCTTAAAAAGTGTCGATACTTTATGAAAATATATCGATCCATAACAATATAACAGTTAAAAATATGACAAAACCGATCTCAAAATGACAAAATCAGTAAAGAACTATCGGATATGTTGAAAGTGTCGATACTTTAATATAAGTATCGACACTTTTTGAATTTAAAAGAGAATAAGTTATAGCGCCTATAAAGTGTCGATACTTCAAAAAAATGTATCGATCCATAACAATATAACAAGTAAAAATATAACAAAACATGTCTCAAAAATGACAAAACAGGTAAAAAGATACTAGATATGTTGAAAGTGTTGATAATTTAATATAAGTATCGACACTTTTGGAATTTAAAAGAGAATAAGTTATAGCGCGTATAAAGTGTTGATACTTTAAAAAATGTATCGATCCATAACAATATAAAAAGTAAAAATATGACAAAACATGTAAAAAAATATCGGATATGTTGAAAGTGTCGATAATTTAATATAAGTATCGACACTTTTGGAATTTAAAAGATAATAAGATATAGCGCCTATAAAATCTCGATACTTTAAAAAATGTATCGATCCATAATAATATAACAGATAAAAATATGACAAAACCGGTCTCAAAATGACAAAACCGGTAAAGCGCTACCAGATAATATCTTATCGAAAGTATCGACACTTGACATAAAATTATCGACACTTAGGTAGTTGTATTGATTAAATATAAATAACATATCCTGTGTAAATATAAAGGCATAGCTAAATTTCCTCTGAAAATAGATATAGTTTTTGAAATCGAAGCATAATTGTTGTTGCATTTCAGAAGGCGTTTCTACGGCGAAGTTTGTTTGTTTGTTGCTGCAGTCGAATCGAAAGGTACGTTGTTGAAACCCTAGTTTTTTATTATTACAGTAATCTGAAATAGGGTTTTTATGTGTTGTTATTTGGGGTTTTCGAAGTAAAAAAGTATTTGGGATCGATTACATGTAGAAAGTGATATTCTAGGTAGATAATAAATATCGATACTTTTATTTAATATTATAGGTAAAAAATGATATTACATGTAGAAAGTGATATTCTAGGTAGAAAATAAATATGGATACTTGTATATAATATTATAGGTAGAAAAATGATATTTTAGGTTGTATAAATGTGCCGACACTTGTTGTAGTGGCCATTCAAATTCTTTTGAAGACCAATCGTTTTACCACAAGAGTAGTTATTGATTTTTGTATATTGAATAAAGTGTATGTAAGCAGTATTTGATTTGATTTGTGCAAACTGATATATGAAGAAAAAATGAAGTCATTGGGTGGAAAGCAACCAAAGTGTGAATATATGTACTTTTAGTAAGTGTCAATGTCTTTTTATTATTATTGTTGAAATGATAATTAGATTAAAGTATTTAAGAATTTTAAATTGATTACAAATTTTAAATGTTGACAGTATGGTCGAATGTAAAAGGATGAAGGAAGATGGCACACACAGCGGTTCGGTATGTAACATGAAATTGATATTAAGTATTATTTAGCATTAATTTATTGATTAAGAAACGTTTATGCTTAATATTAGGTGACAAAAGATGTGAGGTCGAAATGGAATTCAATGAGTGATGCTGAAAAGGAACCTTACATCAAACAGTCAAGGAATGATAGTAAATAAAACAAAGAACGGAGGAAAACACATGAAAATAAGGTATTCATTAAACTTGTAAATACGTTGATACAATATATATAAGAACAATAATATTATATATTGTTAAAAAATGTAGGAAGTGTCGACAAAGTGCAACATAAAAATGGTGAATTCATTAATTGAACACATTAAAGAGAATGATCAGTTGAATGTGCTGAGGGAAATGGGGTTTGGATCGTTGATAGGAATAGGAGATCGACCAATTCGGAGGGAATTGTGTCAATCCTTGATGGAGCAATTTGATGTCAAACAATTTATTGTTAAATATGGTTTGAATCAGAAGGTGATATATGCTGAAGTTGAAGAGGATATCAAAAGTGGATCTTACAGGGGGATGACCTGAAGACCTGAGTTATATTGTACCTTGTCGGGATATTTCTTTGTCCAACAAGGACAATATGAAGCTCATTTACGATGAAGGCTTGAAGGGTGAATTCAATTAGGCTGAATATGTCCATTCGAGATTGATTGAATCAATAATCACCTTTCAAAAGGGCAGCCAGAGATACCTCAAATGGTGCATAGCAATCTTTGAGGTAACTGAGTTGAAGAATGTTTTTGTTTTTTTTTATATAAAATGATAGTATAGTTATTATATAAAATAATAACTTTTATTATAAATGCAGGTTGCACTGTTCGATTTTTGGTCGGGTTGTGATAGTTTGTCGCTTATGAAATAAACGGAGTGGCACGCATCCGTGCATGGGGGAAGGAAGAGGTGGTTAGAGTGATGGCGAAGTTGAAGTTGGATAGACCGAGGAAGCTAGAAATGGTAATAAATGTAATTAAATAATATTAAGAACATTATATTATAACATGTGACTTATTTCGACGCTGCTTCCCATTCGGACGACGATGCTTTATGACACAAATTTATCCTGATTATGCTCATTTAGTTTCTTGTTAGTAAAATTGTACCTGATTAGTTTGATAATTGAAATTATTTATATATGTCCTCAGAAAAAGGTGGTAAAATACACGAGTATTTGGAAAATTTGTTGAAGGCGCCTAATGTTCCAGACTTCGTTAGCGATAACCCTTTTTCATCGGATTAATTTCGTTATAGGTACATTATTTGAACATTGTTATCTATAAATTTGTTGTGAATGTATGATTTGGTTTGATTATATTGTGTGTGTATTTTCATTCCATCCAAAAAAACTTAATCATATAACACAATAACTATGTATTTTAATATAAATATTATATTATAACATGTGACTTATACATTAAATATTCTATTCGGACGAGTCTATCTATCTCTTCCATGTGACAAGTGTGACAACCCTATCAATTCACAACTCAGCTTTGTACTGAATCAATATTGTATTTTACTCGCTTTATGGTTCATAATGCATGTTAATTAAACAGAATGAATCAATTATGCACTTTCATGTTCAATTTAACATTGCATTTCATTTTCATTTCATTTATAATTAGAGTTTGAATTTAAATTTCAATTTGAGTTTGAATTTAAATGTAAATTTCGGCTCCACTATAAATATTAGCCCTAAACCGAAATTCCATCCATCCAAAAAACAACTTGCTCAATGGATGCATCGGGAGATAACATCAAATTCTATTCCTAAGGTAACAACTTATCTTTTTCAAATATCAACACTAGTGATAATGTGCATAATGAATTGCTTTATTAATTCGTGTCAATACATGTTGTCCATAATGTATTTTTAAACCAAGTGCACGAAAAAAGTGTCGATACATTTATAACAAGTATCGATCTCAAAATCATCGAAACAAATAATTATAATGTAATAGGTAAATTAACAATGTAACCGGTCTAAATATACCGGTTTTTGAGAAAATATGTATACATAAAGTATCAACACAAATTCAACAAGTGTCGATACTTTTTGTCCATAATGTATTTTTTCAAACCAAGTGCTCGACAAAGTGTCGATACATTTATAACAATTGTCAATACTAAAAATATCGAAACACAAAGATATAATGTAATATGTAAAATAACAATGCAACCGACC